TCGGGTAATGGAGGCTGACTCCATATACAGCTTCAGGTAGTGGAGGTTGACTCCATATACAGCTTCAGGTAGTGGAGGTTGACTCCATACACAGCTTCAGGTAGTGGAGGTTGACTCCATACACAGCTTCAGGTAGTGGAGGTTGACTCCATATACAGCTTCAGGTAGTGGAGGTTGACTCCATACACAGCTTCAGGTAGTGGAGGTTGACTCCATACACAGCTTCAGGTAGTGTGGAGGCTGACTCCATATACAGCTTCAAGTACTGGAGGCTGACTCCATATACAGCTTCAAGTACTGGAGGCTGACTCCATATACAGCTTCAAGTACTGGAGGCTGACTCCATATACAGCTTCAGGTACTGGAGGCTGACTCCATATACAGCTTCAAGTAGTGGAGGCTGACTCCATACACAGCTTCAGGTAGTGGAGGCTGACTCCATATACAGCTTCAAGTACTGGAGGCTGACTCCATATACAGCTTCAAGTACTGGAGGCTGACTCCATATACAGCTTCAAGTACTGGAGGCTGACTCCATATACAGCTTCAGCTAGTGGAGGCTGACTCCATATACAGCTTCAAGTACTGGAGGCTGACTCCATATACAGCTTCGGGTACTGGAGGTAGACTCCATATACAGCTTCAAGTACTGGAGGCTAACTCCATACACAGCTTCAAGTACTGGAGGCTACAGCTTCAGGTACTGGAAGCTGACTCCATACTCCGCATCATATGTAGATAAAAAGAGTTAAGAGTCAGATAGCCTCAGAAACCTTTACATCAATTGATCCTACGTGGAGAATCAGATCTGAAACTCCTCCTGAATAGGAGGTACAGTTTACATTCGGCTACCCACTGTTCTTGAATGGAAAGTATAGTTTACACTAAGCTGCTCACTGTTTCCAAGTTCACCTTACAGTTTACACTAGGCTACCTAGAGGTATGTAAGGACAGACACACTCACGATTATCATAGGTTCCGCAGACGTCTCGTGGAACGCACACAAAATGGATATCACTCTCAAAGTCTACCAGCAGGGCTTCCTGAAGGTATACCAGGTACAAATAGCATTGGAAATCTACAACAAAATGACAAAATGATTGCCGGAAAAATATGACAAGATCGCGCCGTGATGCGCCAATTCCAAGTACATAAACTTAGACTCAAAAACAGTGACAAATTGTGATCTTTGGGGGACTGAAGATGTTCCTTTCTGTCAGAAAAAGGTGAGAGGACTAGTCAAGTAGAATGTGGTTCCAATGAACTGGTAGATTCCGTAACAAATGTGACCTATAAGATGGAAATTGCCACCTGTAAATTGCTATGTACTGAGACCGATCTTGTCCCAGACAGGAATATGATAGTTTCTATTTCTGTTGCTGGACGAGAATTACAATAGATTGTGCGAAAGACAGTGACATAGACAGATTGTTGGAGATTGTATCAGCGATAAAAAGATACGAGGGAAACATATCAAATTTCATCCATATTACAATTATCATTCTTACATTATTATTGCAAATGACTTATTATTGCGAGAATTACCCTCATAGAAATTGTCACCGTCATTGTTACCACATAATTGTCACAATCACTATTATTAGTATGTCTTCCTCTGAGGCTGTCTGTTGCAGCAACAATGACTTGTCACCGTAGCCTAGCTGTGTACCGCTCACTCTTACATTGTATATATGACTAATATGGCAAGTTTAGCTGTCTTCCCGCTGGTCTGATTGTGGCGACCATCTTCCCGCTGGTCTGATTGTGGCGACCATCTTCCCGCTGGTCTGATTGTGGCGACCATCTTCCCGCTGGTCTGATTGTGGCGACCATCTTCCCGCTGGTCTGATTGTCTCTACCATCTTCCCGCTGGTCTGATTGTCTCTACCATCTTCCCGCTGGTCTGATTGTTCCACTCGATGGTTTTGACTACCAACAATGTTATAGACAAAACTGAAAACATAAACAGGATGCCGAATGGAATTTCCAATCAGAAATATTTACATAAATCCAGCGATAAGTTGCTTGAGACCCTGATGGCCAAGTGAACAGGGGCGTGGGTTCCTAAATGTCTTACTCTGCATAGGATTCTAACTCGGATCCCAATAGATTGGTAGTATTTGCCAGGGAATAGATTGGGTGGAACATGACAAATCTTCAAATCAAGGGATGAATCTTCATTTTTCCTATTTTTGAATATCAATTGTGTTCTGTTTGTAATATTATTTTTTTTCTATGACAATTTTTTCCTATGTTCTTTCTTAACATAGATCCCATGTTCTATGAGAGAACTGTTGGAGGGTTGAGACTAGGGTCAACTCTTGTTAGATCAGGACTGTGTGTGTGTGTGTCCATAGTTGGCTTCTCTTGTCTCCATTGTATTAATAGTGTCTTAAGACACGAAAGTGCTTGTGGTCTCCTTTCTACATTGTTTTACATGTTACATCACTGTTCCACCAGTCTCCTCCACCTGGGTCGTGGATGTCTGTGTGTACCTTTCACTAATCCCTGGGGTCGCAGCCTCTGACCTCCTCCTATCATACCCCCTGTCACACTATTCCCTCACTCTTCCACCTCTCCTCTTACCTTTGGTCTGTCACACTATTCCCTCTTCCACCTCTCCTCATGTCTCTGGTCTGTCACACTATTTCCTGCCTCTTTCACCCAAATGTCGAGTACACAATGTGTCAACTATGTGAAAGAGAAAACATGCACTCACTTGAACATTATATTGTAGAATGTCCCATATTGTCTGACTTTCGCCCTGAACAAAACCACCTCCATGCCCTAAATACATCAAGATCCACAAAAATGTATACAATATATAATTAGAAATGAAACGTGGACGAGTTCCTCAAATAAATATATTCATGGACGAGGCTAGGAAGCCTCTGCCTCTCCCACATGTGTGTATATATGTAGGTGAGTATGGTGAGCACTAGGTGAACCGCTGACACATGTGACTCACGCCATTGACACACGTGACACCATTTAACACATCTCTAAGACAGCTTGACCCGGTGCCGAGTCACTACAGGGCTGAACCAGGTATCCTCACGAAAGGAGATTTACATCAACGAGTCCTTAACTAGACAAAACAAACTCCTCCACCGCCTGCGTCAAGTCCGGAATCAAAACCGAGGTGTAGACCATCAGTACTTTGTTAGAGGTGGCATGATAAGTGAGAAAAACTTCTGCAGGTAAAATGTTTACAGTTGCAAATGAGGATAACCTCAACACTTTCCTCACCCAATGTGGTTTGTCTCACCTTATTATCTCTATCAATGACTCTAATTAATCCCCTTGTCACCAAACCTAGGTAATCTAGGTGTCTGTGTTACCCTGTTATATTTAAATTATTAGAGGACGTAAATGATTTTGGGTAGTAGAACCCCAAGCACAAATACCATAGTTGAGATAAGGATAGATGAGAGAGTAATAGAGCGTCACCAGGGCAGGGCGGGGTACATAATATCTGCCCTGCCCTGGTGACGCTCTATTACTCTCTCATCTATCCATATCTCAACTATGGTATTTGTGCTTGGGGTTCTACTACCCAAAATCATTTACGTCCTCTAATTACTCAACACAAAGCTGCTATTAGAACAATATCTAACTCTGGCCCCAGACAGCACTCGGTACCCTTACTCAAATCTCTGAATATGTTAGATATTAAGTCACTGAACATCCTCTCTTGTGTACTCTATATATTTAAAACTCTGAACTGTAATGCCAATCCTGACCTTAAACACTTCCTAGAAGGTTGTAAGAGAACCCATGAGCACCACACCAGAAACAAATACCTATTTGATATTCCAAGAGTGCGACTTAACCAAACTAGAAATGCTCTACAACTCAAGGGACCCAGAATGTGGAATGACCTTCCCAATCATGTCAAAGGCTGTACCTCTCCCAACCAGTTTAAGAGTAGAACTAAGTACTACCTAATTAACTCCATGTAACCTACCTTACCCCCTAAATGTCAACCCATGTCTTCTTGATTGTCTAAACAATGCTGTTTGTGAGGGAGGAAATGTATATTTTTACCTCTCAGAATGTTTGGTAATATGTTTATTTGTGATGTGTGTCTATGTATATATTAACACGTTGTACTGAATGGGGTGAGAATAGCTTGAGCTACCTCATCCCTTTGTGTGTATTTTACCTCAATAAACTTATTTCAATTTCAATTTCAATTTCAATGCTGTTTGTTGACCAACTTGTACAATTGCTGATTTCTGCCATGTTCCCCCTCCCCCTTTTTTTTATTATTCCTTTTTTCAACACAATTTATATTTTACCCCAATTAGTATTAAGTTTTAATCTAAGTATCCCCCCCCCCTCCTCACACCTTGTCCGAAATGCTGCGCATATTAGTGGCTTTAGGCCTTGTATGGGTCCTCTTACAATTGGAGTAGTTGTTTACAAGTTCGATGGGGCTCCGTTTCCCTTGCTTTTCAATTCGTGTATGGAACTAGCCATAGCTCATTCTTGTTCTCCATCATTCTTACACTGAAAAATTCATCCAGTCTTTCCAGTCTGGTTCATTCTTAAGTCTATTGCATCGCTGTGTGTGCCTTTCCTAATTTAAGCTGATTATTTCCAAACACTTTGGCCGGTCCTGCTTGTAATTAGTGCACATCGGCTACTTAATTTGCTGTATTCCCATGTTCAATATATTTATAAGTTTATATAGTATGATTTATAAGTTAGAAGCGAGCGCGAGCGCCTAATTCATTAATGTGTGTTTGGGGTCGGCCGCCACTTGGAGAAGCCTAGCCCGAGGACAATTTGCCCAACTTGCCCGTTTCAGACTTGCCCGAAACGCTTTGCGTAATAGTTACTTCATTACTATGTATACAAACCTGTCTCTACAATCGTACATCATCCTTATGTTCTTTGTGCTCACATTCTTTTGAATACAAATTTGAATTTGACCAAGTTAACTAGGTGTTATACTCATACGTGTACAATAGGCTGCGAGAAGTCAAAAAACTTACCTCACTACAGGAGCAGATAGCAAAGGGAACACTGTGAGATTTAAGATATCAAGTGAAGACTACTGAGTACAAATACTGAATCGACAATTAAGTACAGATAAGCGGTTCACATATCTTAGATAATGGATATCAATGACAGATAATGGAGTTGCCAGATGGAATATTAGGCGTTGGGAACATTTTCAGGAGTATATTTGATATGTAATCATCAGCCACATATTGAATTATTCGATAACAAAGTTCCTCGAAATATTTATAAACTGAAAACTAAATCTAAATTGGATGATGATAGACAAATAGGAAGCAGAGCGAGTTTGAAACTAGAAGGATGTACACAGTTAAATTTCGACAAATGTAAAGTGAAAAATAGAACAATTGAACAGTTAAAATAATTACTGGATAATGTTGACCAAAACCGCACTTCAGAAAGTGAAGAGACAGGAATAGCGAAGGGAAGGGAACTATCAAGGGGAAAGCACCAAGCCATTGCGACTATATAGCACTGGGAAGGGGTCAGGATAAGGATTTGGGATGGGACGGGGGGAAAGGAATGGTGCCCAACCACTTGTGGATGGTCGGGGATTGAACGCCGACCTGCATGAAGCGAGACCGTCGCTCTACCGTCCAGCCCAAGTGGTTGGGCCAGGGATAGCGAGCAACAGGCATATATGCAGGTCATGCTGCACTTTGGCGACAAAAAAACTTTTAAACTAACACAAAATGCTGGAGAAACTGCTACCTCCATGCCTCCCCTGGCAGTGCCGGTACACAAGTAAAAGTTCAAGAGAAAATTAGATATTTTCCTACAAGAATTACCGGACCAACCGGGATGTAGTGGATATGTGGGCCTGCGGGGCCGCTCCAAGCAACAGCCTGGTGGACCAAGTTGTCACAAGTCAATGTGAAGAACTGCCAGAATCCACTCTGGTATTCTTCAGGTATACTCCATAGGCCAAAGTATCCATGAATAATGTTAAGGTGTTGCAATACTCTAATATGTATGCATTCCCTGCTCGTGTCAGCCACCTGGATGCTTCCTGTTGCTCGTGTCAGCCACCTGGATGCTTCCTGTTGCTCGTGTCAGCCACCTGGATGCTTCCTGTTGCTCGTGTCAGCCACCTGGATGCTTCCTGTTGCTCGTGTCAGCCACCTGGATGCTTCCTGTTGCTCGTGTCAGCCACCTGGATGCTTCCTGTTGCTCGTGTCAGCCACCTGGATGCTTTCTGTTGCTCGTGTCAGCCACCTGGATGTTTCCTGTTGCTCGTGTCAGCCACCTGGATGTTTCCTGTTGCTCGTGTCAGCCACCTGGATGTTTCCTGTTGCTCGTGTCAGCCACCTGGATGTTTCCTGTTGCTCGTGTCAGCCACCTGGATGTTTCCTGTTGCTCGTGTCAGCCACCTGGATGTTTCCTGTTGCTCGTGTCAGCCACCTGGATGTTTCCTGTTGCTCGTGTCAGCCACCTGGATGCTTCCTGTTGCTCGTGTCAGCCACCTTGAAACCTTTCCCGATCATATCGGCCACCTGGACGCCTCCCCATGGTCATGTCAACCCCCTGGACCCTGTCTGCCTACTAGATATGGTCATGTCAACCACCTGGACCCTGTCTGCCTACTAGATATGGTCATGTCAACCACCTGGGCCCTGTCTGCCTACTAGATATGGTCATGTCAACCCCCTGGACCCTGTCTGCCTACTAGATATGGTCATGTCAACCACCTGGACCCTGTCTGCCTACTAGATATGGTCATGTCAACCACCTGGACCCTGTCTGCCTACTAGATATGGTCATGTCAACCACCTGGGCCCTGTCTGCCTACTAGATATGGTCATGTCAACCCCCTGGACGCTGTCTGCCTACTAGATATGGTCATGTCAACCCCCTGGACGCTGTCTGCCTACTAGCTATGGTCATGTCAACCCCCTGGACCCTGTCTGCCTACTAGATATGGTCATGTCAACCCCCTGGACGCTGTGTGCCTACTAGATATGGTCATGTCAACCACCTGGGCCCTGTCTGCCTACTAGATATGGTCATGTCAACCCCCCTGGACGCTGTCTGCCTACTAGATATGGTCATGTCAACCCCCTGGACGCTGTCTGCCTACTAGCTATGGTCATGTCAACCCCCTGGACCCTGTCTGCCTACTAGATATGGTCATGTCAACCCCCTGGACGCTGTGTGCCTACTAGATATGGTCATGTCAACCCCCTGGACGCTGTCTGCCTACTAGATATGGTCATGTCAACCACCTGGGCCCTGTTTGCCTACTAGATATGGTCATGTCAACCCCCTGGACGCTGTCTGCCTACTAGATATGGTCATGTCAACCACCTGGGCCCTGTCTGCCTACTAGATATGGTCATGTCAACCACCTGGGCCCTGTCTGCCTACTAGATATGGTCATGTCAACCCCCTGGACCCTGCCTGCCTACTAGATATGGTCATGTCAACCACCTGGGCCCTGTCTGCCTACTAGATATGGTCATGTCAACCCCCTGGACCCTGTCTGCCTACTAGATATCGTCATGTCAACCACCTAGACCCTGTCAATTTCGAATTTCATTCACCGTCCCCCCCTCTATCCATCTATCTATCTATTATTTATTTATCTATCTATCTCTCAGTATTTTAAGATTTTCTTGTTTTCACCCCAAGTGGAAATGTCATCAATCAAACATTACATAATTCACATGTTCCTCTTGGTACTCATATCAATTCTCCTTCATAATGGAACAAGTATCTGGAGAAATGCGCCATATTAAAGTTATTTAAACGTCGCCTTTGGGAGTTAGGTCGGTGTTATTGAGAGTGGCTACAGGTTATTGAGCCATCTTCCCGTCTCTGGGATCTTAGGGAGTAACCTTCGCTTTGTTCCTTCTCTAGTCTCCCAAGCAGTAAGGTTGGGTTTACCGGCACCATAGCTTAGTTTACCTCGCTTGGGAGAGTCCTAGCGCCAGTAGCAGCGCTTACTCTACCTCTGAGAGAGGCTACTAGCACAGTAGCAGCACTTACTCTACCTCTGAGAGAGGCTACTAGCACCAGTAGCAGCACTTACTCTACCTCTGAGAGAGGCTACTAGCACCAGTAGCAGCACTTACTCTACCTCTGAGAGAGGCTACTAGCACCAGTAGCAGCACTTACTCTACCTCTGAGAGAGGCTACTAGCACCAGTAGCAGCGCTTACTCTACCTCGTGATAAACTCCCAGCACAAGCAGCAGCCTAGCTCATATCCTGTAACTACACTTAGGTAATTACCCCTGGAGACTTGTAAGTGATTTGCCTTAGGCTTTCACGCATTTTAGACTAAGCTGATCTCAATTCCCAGTTGTTATAGTAGCAAGTATATCATAGCAATTACCCGCTAGCAGCAACAGCTAAGTAAACCCCCTAGGAGTAGCTCCTTACCTTGGGTCAGAGGTGGCAAGATCCACGAGAAGTGTGTGGGGCACGTTGGACTGGTCAGGGCGCAAGCTTGGGTATGTGTGGGCATCCCAGGGCATCCCTAGAGGGCCAGGCCAGTGCCAGACCCAAGGGGGGGGGGGGGTGTATGTCTACACACATGACTTATGTGGGTGTATTGTGTATGTTTGTGTACTCTGCTGCCTGTGTGGCTGTAGGCATTGTTCTTGTCATACCTAATTGATTTAGGTAATCCTCCCTAATCCTTAACTGTTCTTGTATCCCATGTATGTACTCTTGTATCAATAAATTATTGATGTTATTAATTACCTAAGTGTAGTTACAGGATGAGAGCTACGCTCGTGGTGTCCCGTCTTCCCAGTACTCTTTGTCATATAACGCTTTGAAACTACTGACGGTCTTGGCCTCCACCACCTTCTCATCTAACTCACCTTAGTGTGTTTGTGTTCGCGTGTGTGTATATGTTAGGTTAATTTAGGTCATGTATCACCTATGACAAGCCGCCTGCTTCCTGTCCTCGTCGAGGCCACTATCTCACTGGTGGCCCCTCGGGTAAATTCAGGTAAATATTGTCTGACTGTACTAATGTACATTAGAGCAAGAGCTAATGTCTGACTGTACTAATGTACAGTCCGACATTAGCTCTAATGTACTGACTCCCAACCTATTTGTTTTCCTATACCATAATTACTTTTTTCTTTACAGTATTCTGCAGGAAACACAGACAAGGCTGGTGAGGTACATGGTATATCACTTAGGTAATTGTCATGAGCTCCTTCTTCACCTTATTTAAAAAAATAATGCGGAAAGGGGAGGGATTCATTTTTTTTCGAAAACGTTACCGTCAAAATGGTATTAAAGAATCTAGTTGGCGTTACTGTTCAGTATCGGGACCCACTGGGTATCGAACTGCTTGTATCAGTCATGTGGGAGCCTAGCTACACCTAGAATAGTATGGGTGTAGCTGTGCTAGGGTAGTCTAGCTACACCAAGTATAGTGTGGGTGTTAAGGCTAGGCTAGCTCGCCTAGCCTTTCGCGAGCCTGGGTTCGTATCCTGGCCAGGGAGGATTGACTGCATGGGCGCCAATCCTTAACTGTAGTCTAAATCACGATTTGGCGGGTCGCATTCCGGGGAAAATTACGAATAATGACCTGCCTGAAAGGCTATAGATGCTGGTGACTTACCAGAATATAAGAACTATTGTATAAATAAATAAATAAATTTCCTCAGTATTTTGTAGATAGTGATCATATCCCTTTTGTTTCTACTCTAAGGTTGAGTGGTGGAATGAATTGATGATGTGGGTGATGGTGAAGGTGATGGTGATGGTGGTGTTGTGGCCGGGGTGATAGTGTTGACACTACACATCACAGTGTTTCTTTGAGCAATACACAGTAACATGAGCACCGTGAGGCCCCTGACCGGCGTCTGCACTGTCTCAACCTTACAGTTGCCGTGGAGACCCGTGACCTCTCACTAGTGACCCGTGACCTCTTACTAGTGACCCGTGACCCCTCACTAGTGATGCGTGACCTCTTACTAGTGATGCGTGACCTCTCACTAGTGATGCGTGACCTCTTACTAGTGATGCGTGACCTCTTACTAGTGATGCGTGACCTCTTACTAGTGACCCGTGACCTCTCACTAGTGATGCGTGACCTCTTACTAGTGACCCGTGACCTCTCACTAGTGACCCGTGACCTCTTACTAGTGACCCGTGACCTCTTACTAGTGACCCGTGACCTCTCACAATGGTGACCCTGTAGTGACCCGTGACCTCTCACTACGGTGACCCCTGTAGTGACCCGTGACCTCTCACTATGGTGACCCTGTAGTGACCCGTGACCTCTCACTACGGTGACCCTGTAGTGACCCGTGACCTCTCACTATGGTGACCCCTGTAGTGACCCGTGACCTCTCACAATGGTGACCCTGTAGTGACCCGTGACCTCTCACTACGGTGACCATGTAGTGACCCGTGACCTCTCACTACGGTGACCCTGTAGTGACCCGTGAGCTCTCACTACGGTGACCCTGTAGTGACCCGTCACCTTTCACTACGGTGACCCTGTAGTGACCCGTGACCTCTCACTACGGTGACCTTGTAGTGACCCGTGACCTCTCACTACGGTGACCCTGTAGTGACCCGTGACCTCTCACTACGGTGACCCCTGTAGTGACCCGTGACCTCTCACTATGGTGACCCGTGACCTCTCACTACGGTGACCCTGTAGTGACCCGTGACCTCTCACTACGGTGTAGTGACCCGTGACCTCTCACTATGGTGACCCGTGACCTCTCACTACGTGACCTCTAGTGACCCGTGACTCTCACGGTGACCCGTGACCTGTAGTAGACCCGTGACCTCTCACTATGGTGACCCTGTAGTGACCCGTGACCTCTCACTACGGTGACCCCTGTAGTGACCCGTGACCTCTCACTATGGTGACCCGTGACCTCTCACTACGGTGACCCTGTAGTGACCCGTGACCTCTCACTACAGTGACCTGTAAATTTACCTGAAGGCCATCATCTCTATTGGCCTCGACGAGGATAGGAAGCCAGCGGCTGGTCAAAGGTCTCCACATTTGTTCCGATGATTTTATCAAGCCGGATTTTGAAATTCAGCCGTTTTTATTATTATTCTTATTATTTTCTACCACAGACGTGGCCACACATTAAAGTGTTGGGACATTTTTACTTACCCCTGTCCTCTTTCTCATCTACATTAATGACCTTCCAAATGTCTCTTAACACCTAAAGTCAATTCTATTTGCTGATGACACAACCATCATTTTCTCCAGTCCTGACCCCCTTGCTCTAAATGTCACAGTGAATACTGAAATAAAGTGAACTAAATAAAGTCCATCTTTGGCTAACTGCTAACAAACTCATCCTTAACATTAACAAAACTTTCTATATTTTGTTTGGTAATAAATCCTCAAATCAAATTAGCCTAAGAATAAACAATACCCAAATTAGTAACAAAGTTGATGATAAATTCCTTGGTGTCCTCATTGATAACAAGCTGAATTTCCAGAGACACATTCTAAATATATACAAAAAAATTCTAAAACTGTTGGCATTCTTTCTAAGATCAGATATTATGCACCTCGCCCTGCCCTGGTGACTATTACTCTCTCATCTATCCATATCTCAACTATGGTATTTGTGCTTGGGGTTCTACTACCCAAAATCATTTACGTCCTCTAATTACTCAACACAAAGCTGATATTAGAACAATATCTAACTCTGGCCCCAGACAGCACTCAGTACCCTTACTTAAATATCTGAATATGTTAGATATTAAGCCACTGCACATCCTCTCTTGTGTACTCTATATATTTAAAACTCTGAACTGTAATGCCAATCCTGACCTTAAACACTTCCTAGAAGGTTGTAACAGAACCCATGAGCACCACACCAGAAACAAATACCTATTTGATATTCCAAGAGTGCGCCTTAACCAAACTAGAAATGCTCTACAACTCAAGGGACCCAGAATGTGGAATGACCTTCCCAATCATGTCAAAGGCTGTACCTCTCCCAACCAGTTTAAGAGTAGAACTAAGTACTACCTAATTAACTCCATGTAACCTACCTTACCCCTAAATGTCAACTCATGTCTTGCTTTTCTAAACAATACTGTTTGTTGACCAACTTGTTTAATTGCTGATTTCCGCTATGTTTTTTAACCCATTTTAATGTTTTAATCTCAATTAGTATTAAGGTTTAGTCTAAGTGTCCCCCCCCCCCACACCTTGCCGGAAACGCTGTGTGTATTAGTGGCTTTAGGCCTTGTATGTACTGCCTCTATCTATAACTCCATCATTATGTTTGTAACTCATCTTCTGTGTATGTACTTTTTCCTGAATAAACATTTTGATTTGATTTTAATTTGACAAAGGGAATAATGTTTCAAATTAAGCGGGCCTCGGTTCCCATTCTCTCCACACGTAAACAAACCGCACAGTGACCGCCATGGGAGCTAATACAACAACAACAATACAACAACAACAGCTCGCCCCTAAATCAACAATAACAACAACAACAACACTTCAACAGTTTCTTGTAAACTGCCTGTACCATTAAGAAGGTCATCGTCAGTACCTTAGGGAGCCTCCTGGAGGTGCAGGCGGCCCTTCCCCACAGGCCCAGCACCGGGCCCCAGGGTAGCCCAGCCTACCCTACCCTACCCTTAGGGCAGCCCAGCCTACCCTACCTTACCCTTAGGGTAGCCCAGCCTACCCTACCCTACCCTTAGGGCTAGCCCAGCCTACCCTACCTTACCCTTAGGGGTAGCCCAGCCTACCCTACCCTACCCTACCCTTTAGGGCAGCCCAGCCTACCCTACCCTACCCTAAGGGTAGCCCAGCCTACCCTACCCTACCCTTAGGGCCCAGCCTACGTAGCCCAGCCTACCCTACCCTACCCTTAGGGCAGCCCAGCCTACCCTACCCTACCCTTAGGGCAGCCCAGCCTTCCCTACCCTACCCTTAGGGCAGCCCAGCCTACCCTACCCTACCCTTAGGGCAGCCCAGCCTACCCTACCCTACCCTTAGGGCAGCCCAGCCTACCCTACCCTACCCTTAGGGCAGCCCAGCCTACCCTACCCTTAGGGCAGCCCAGCCTACCCTACCCTTAGGGCAGCCCAGCCTACCCTACCCTACCCTTAGGGCAGCCCAGCCTACCCTACCCTACCCTTAGGGCAGCCCAGCCTACCCTACCCTTCCCTTAGGGTAGCGAGCTCTCAGGAGGGCCCCGCCCCGCGCCCGGGGGGGCCATCACTCGCCTCCGGACTGGGCAGTCTTGTCTGGCTGCACAGCTTCATCTCCTACGGTTGGTAAGTGTCCCCTACTGCTAGTAGTGTCCGGAGGAGGACACTGTCTTCACTGCCGTCTGGTCACTGTCTTAACACTCAGTAGAAAAACCCTGAAGAATGATAGACTTTTAGCCTTAGCAAGACGCAGGAAGCCGGAACAAGCCATAAGTCTTGGTGCAGACGGCTGTGGTGGGAGGATATGTGAGCAGCTTCACCTGGCCAGCAGTCTGCTGCTGCCTCAGGTATTGCACTTCACTGCTGCTGCAGCTGCTGCGGTAGACCAGCAGGAGCAGGTCTACCCGAGCTCTGTGGTACAAGCAGCAGGTAATGGTACAGGCAGGTCATCTTGAGATTCTTGAGTTATCTTGAGATGATTTCAGGGCTTTTAGTGTCCCCGCGGCCCGGTCCTCGACCAGGCCTCCACCCCCAGGAAGCAGCCCGTGACAGCTGACTAACTCCCAGGTACCTATTTACTGCTAGGTAACAGGGGCATTTAGGGTGAAAGAAACTTTGCCCATTTGTTTCTGCCTCGTGCGGGAATCGAACCCGCGCCACAGAATTACGAGTCCTGCGCGCTATCCACCAGGCTACGAGGCCCCTACGAGGCTACGAGGTCGTACATGACATGGGTTTCTGAGATACTGTACTCGTCTTTTGCTTGTTAAAACTATTTATTACCGGTTATGTTGGGTTGGTTTTCCCATAGTCGGGATACGTCATAGTCATACGTCAGGCTGCGAGCAGCCGCGTCCAACAGCCTGGTTGATCAGTCCGGCAACCAGGAGGCCTGGTCGACGACCGGGCCGCGGGGACGCTAAGCCCCGGAAGCACCTCAAGGTAACCTCAAGGGATCAGGAAGCCTGTTGCATGCATATAGTTCATGCCACTATATGCATGCAACTACTTCCTGCACTACTGGCAGGAAGCCGGTTACATACATATAGTGCATGCCACTATATGCATGTAGTAACCTATCCAGTTATTGGACAGATCCAATAGTGCTTAACCTGATCAAGTGCTGCATATCGACTGTCACTTCATTGTCATGGAGAAAAATCTCTCTCTATCTAAGGATTAAGTCTAGCTAGATGATTATTAACCCAACATTCCATGGGTGGACTGTCAACAGGTCATGGTGTACATTAAACCTATGGAGAGCGTGCAGTAATTTCAGTAAGGATTCTTTGTTTATTATTTGCAGCAGGAATGCATGCCTCTATGATACAATTGAATACAATTTTTATTTCTATCACACGTAAAATACAGGTGCATAATTTTCTGCCAGCACTGGGCCATCTGCCATTTTAGTACAGGCTTCCTGGCTCTTAATTATATTATCCTTTTCAAAAGAGTTTTAACAGTATAACGTGTGTGTAGTTATACCATTGTGTACTCACCTAATTGTGCTTGCGGGGGGTTTGAGCTCTGGCTCTTTGGTCCCGCCTCTCAACTGTCAATCAACTGATGTACAGATTCCTGAGCCTACTGGGCTCTATCATATCTACATTTGAAACTGTGTATAGAGTCAGCCTCCACCACATCACTGCCTAATACATTCCATCTGTTAACTTCTCTGACACTGAAAAAGTTTTGTAACGTCCCTGTGGCTCATTTGGGTACTCGGTTTGCACCTGTGTCCCCTTGTTCGCGTACCACCTGTGTTAAACAGTTTATCTTTATCTACCCTGTCAATTCCTCTGAGAATTTTGTAGGTAGTGATCAAGTCTCCCCTTACTCTTCTGTCTTCTAGTGTTGTGAGGTGCATTTTCCGCAGCCTCTCCTCGTAACTCATGCCTCTTAGTTCTGGGACTAGCCTAGTGGCATACCTCTGAACTTTTTCCAGCTTCGCCTTGTGCTTGACAAGGTACGGGCTCCATGCTGGGGCCGCATACTCCAGGATTGGTCTTACATATGTGGTGTACAAGATTCTGAATGATTACTTACACAGGTTCCTTTTCCTCTCCTATTCTTTTTAAATTTATTTTGTTTATATATACAGTATACTGTATACTGTATGTATGTATGTATGTATGTATGTATGTATGTATGTATGTATGTATGTATGTATGTATGTATATATATATATATATATATATATATATATATATATATATATATATATATATATATATATATATATATATATATATATATATATATATATATATATATATATATATATATATACGGAAAATCCACCAAAAAAATCCTGTTTGTCCAAAAAAAAATATTGGACAAACAGGAAAGTCCTTACAATTGTGGTTGTCACAACATGCTTATAGTATTAGAACTGCCCAAACGTCTAATGCATTGTATCTACATACGAGTTTATGCGATCACAATATTAACTGGAATGGGGCAAAAAGCATTACCAATTGTGGGGATTTCGTGGAACGGAATTTAATTGAGTCTGCTCTAATCAGTCAGTGTCCAAATCTTCTTAATGTTAGTACTGGAATGTACAAACTTGATCCATTTTTAAGTTATAATATTGCACAACAGTTTAAGAAAAAACTCTGATAGAGAGGCTTACAATGTCTCATTATAATTTTATATTCATATATTGTGTGTTCATGAGGCTTTTCTTTATCTTTCATCCTTATTCTCTGACCGCTTAATCCTCTTTGACCATTCTAAGCTAAGCTATACCTGTTTCTGGTTAATTCTTTCCCTAGGGATGTGTTGGTCAGGTGTCGGCCTATATATCCTCCCCCTTCTCCCTTCTCCTCTAGTCAGTCTGGTGTTGACAAAGGCTTTAACAAGCCGAAACGTTCACCTCATTTCATATTTCTCTGTGGATTTTCCGCATAAAATGATCAGTGTTTTGTGATCGTCAATTGCATATGCATGCATATATATATATATATATATATATATATATATATATATATATATATATATATATATATATATATATATATATATATATATATATATATATATATATATATATATATATATATATATATATATATATATATATATATATATATATATATATATATATATATATATATATATATATATATATATATATATACATATATATATATATATATATATATATATATATATATATATATATATATATATATATATATATATATATATATATATATATATATATATATATATATTTATATTTATATTTATATTTACTGTACAAAGGATGATGAGCATCAACAGGAGTTGAAAATAGGTACTGTTGTATATATCTTTTAACCAGTTTTAATATTCCACTGCATTGTAGCCTAACGTCATGTCTACTGTAGTTGGTGTGAAGTAATGTCCCAAAATCAACAGCAGGCAGCTTTTTAACCTATGTATTGCATTCATATATTTCATTTTATTAGTAGTGTATTATTTACATGAACAGGAATGAAATATACTGTATATATTGTGCTGTACATGTGATTTACTGTGTTCTTTTTTCCTCAGGATACAAGGACTGCTGTATGGGAAACAGGCATAACTGTGAATGTCATTTCAGCTGTTTCCAGAGACCAGGAATTTTCATGTGCAAGTGATGGACATAAAAATGTGTGTACATTCTTCAAATTTAAATTGCAATAGAAACAAAAAACTTTTATTCTATTTCCTATACTAAGGAGATACAATATATGAGATGCACAACCATCTGATTTGTCAGCTTTAGAGTACAGTACAAAGAAAACATGTCTTCGAAGTGTTCAGAGTGTGGAAAGGAGTTTTCTTTCATATATGCACTTAGCATCCATATGCGTATCCACACAGGAGAGAAACCTTTTAAGTGTGATAAGTGTGAGGAGAGGTTCATGTTGAAAAAAGATCTTCAGCAACATTCTGTTCAACACATTGAGCTCAAACCTAACAAATGTACAGTGTGTGGGAAAAGTTATTCACATAGCAATGCTCTGGAAATACATATGTGCATCCACACTGGGGAGAAACCTTACCAGTGTAAGCGCTGTTATAAAGCATATTTGAGAAAAAATGAACTTCAAAGCCACATGGTATGGCATAGCAAATTAAAATATAAATGTCCAATATGTGGCAAAGGTTTCACGGAGAGCAAGTACTTAAAACAACATGTCTGTGCACGCTTAAGAAAAAAATGCAAAATTTGTCTGAAGTGCAATGAATCATTTTGTGGTAATTTTACTCTTAAAAATCACACCGTTATTTGTAAAGAAATAAATAAGTTTATAAATTGTTTATACTGTAACAAAGAGTTTAGTAGTGATTCTAACCTTAAAAGACACATGAAAATTCATACTAGAGAAAAATCTATCAGGTGCTTCATATGTAAAAATACCTTTATAAGGTTAGATGAACTTGAAAAACATCTGACCTCGCCCAATATAGGCATGTCTCAGAAATGTGAGAATTGTGAAGACTATTTCAAATCCTGTGCGGCTTTTAAGTTACACATTGATAATTGCCATGTTAAGAAAGAAAGACATGGCTGTTGTTTGCATTCAAGAGAGAATTCTGCCAATTGTTCAGAAAAAGGAAATGGATTTTCATTTGATGTATTTGAAGGAGACATTCAGACTCATAATAGGAAAGGTTTTAAAACATTCTCTGATGACAGTCACAGACTCCACTATACAGAGAAATCATCTGCAATACTTGAAGCTTCAACAAATATTGATTCCCTTAGTGACAGAGAAGCTTCTAGCGAGGAAAGGAAATTTAATACAGAAACAATTTATGTACCTGATGAAGATATCAAAATTGAACCACAAACCTACATCAAAGATGAAATAACAGTGAATGATGTTTTTGGTAAAGAGGAGATAGAGTCTTATGATTAACATGTTTAGCTTGACATAATTTAACATAAGGTTCCCATACATCCATAGGGTAAAGTCGCTGGTCTCTGGGCACTTTAGAAAGTTACCGACATTGTCAGTGGACTAAAATATAGTTAGGTCATAGTAAAAAATGACAGGGTCTAGGATACTTATCTGGGACGAGTTCTGGGGGTTATTCTACTCCCCCAAGCCTAGCTGGGGGTCAGGTGTCTTGTGATTACTCGATCTGAAAAGCCGTTGCATGGAGCCGCCTGTGGCCCACTTGCCTGTCGTTGACTATGAGGAAATGATGTCCAGTTCTTTATGCCCCACATATTAGCTTTGTACCTGTTATAATTTTAACTCTTCTGGCATTTGAATTTTGTTGAGTCTGGCCTTAAAGTTGTGGCTGGAGGTGGCTTCCACACCTACTTATTTCAGTACATTCCACTTGTTGATCACCCCTATGAGTGACGGGGCTTGCAAACACACATGCCAGATAGTCTTTATTTTGTAAATTTAATTACAATACTGTATATAGGATGTAAGGAAGGTCATTATCAGGAAAAAGCACTAAGATAACACTTGGAAGGGATAAGGATTTAAACTAGAATGATTGGTGCCGAACCATTTGGCTGGATGGGGATTGATTGCAAACCAACAAGATGCTATGTAGCATGTAGCCATACCTCATTTTAACTAGAACGATTTGAATATGTTCTCCTGCCCACACATCTCTCAGCACACAGACAGGGGTAATGTTGGCAGCATATAAGAAGCTTGTGAACATTAAAACATCATTAAAATACCTAAATAAGAATCATTCCTAGGGAATCTTCACAGCCTATGTTAGACTGTTATTGGAATATGCAGAACTGGCCTAGAATTCATGCCATGTGAAGCACAAAAGGTGAAAAACTGCAGAGGTTTGTAAACAAGATCAGTGTTGGAACTAAGATGGTTAAGCTGTAAGGAAAATAAATATCACAACTCTAGATTAGAGAAGAGAATAAATTGATCAGATATGATTACAACATAATACAGTGGAACCTCGAGTGACAAGTGCCTCCATCTACGAGCATTTCGAGTAATGAGCAAGCCACTCGCTGAAAATTTGTCTTGATTGATGAGCTTCGCCTCTATTAGCGAGAAAACCATTCCTAGCATCCAGCATTCCCGCTGGTTCTCGGAAATTCTCGGACACCTCTGACTAGGCAAATAAAAAAAAATCATTTAAAATGCTAATGATGCTGGGATGTAAGGGGGTGACTGCTCTAATGTTGCAAAGCATTGATTTTTTTTTTAGAAAAAATAAAAAAAATGAAAAAATTGAAAAAAAAGAACTAATGTCAAAAAGATTCGTTCAGTGTATAACGGGTAGGCTGCTCCATTATTTAAAAAATTGAATATTATATTGATGTTTTTCGGTGGTGGAACAGATTAATTTTATTTCCATTATTTTAAATGGAGAAATTCGTTTCGAAAGACGAGCGTTTCACATGGCGAGCTCGGTGCCAGAACGGATTAAATTCGTTAATCGAGGCTCCACTGTAGTTACTGAGCAGAACAGAGAGGATGGATATGGTTATCCTCTGTAAATTGAGAAAAAGTTGGACAAGAGTAGATAGGTGAAGTTTGATATTCAGATGAGTAAAAAAAAATTGGGTTTACTTCAGGGAAACCATTTAGTTAGTAATATGTAGCTTACAGATATATTTCTGTATCAGATATGTGAAAATTTTTATCTTTTCCAGCCAAATGGGGGAAGCTACATATCCCTCTTGCTCAGTGATAATGAGACTAGTCTCTGTGCGATGAGCTTCTCAGTGTCTTGTGCAGTCATTGGTAGCCATATCCTTATACCAATTCTCTTTCAATCCAAAAATAAAGAAATTTAGGTACAATCTTTTATAATTTTGTATCCATCATACCTATGCACATTTTTCCATCCTTTCAGCACATCAATTTCACTTAAGCACTTTAAATTCAGAATTAACTACTTTGTTCTAAGTATCTTGTCATCCATCATGGATGATGTGTGTGGGGAGTGATCTAGGGGTGGCCTAGGATTAAGGATTTGGTTGATGCATCACATGGAGGAAATCCATGTGGCTTATAATTCCCATTGTCGGGAACAGGAAGCCTGTACAGTACTTAGGTTTATCGAGGTCTGCCCTAAGTCAGCTACTGACCTTTCCCAGAATGCAACCCACAACAGTTGGCTAGCTCCAGGGTACCTATTTCCTGCTACAGCAGGTGAATAAAAGTATCAGAGGGGGATCAAATTAGGATCTTCGAGTGTGACTAGAAGGTGTAAACCACAGGACTCCATCTTGTCTTGAGGAGGCATGCACACTTCAACATTCCTGAGTGTTGCAATCATCTTTAACACAGTCTTGACTTTTCTAGTGTTTCAGTTATCTCTAGCACACTTAATTTCTTAGTTATGTATGTAATTACATTTAGAATAATAATTATGGTTCTCTTTCCAAAGTCCCCTTCACTAGTTCCAAAGCCCCCCCTTCATCAGTGCCAAACATTCCTTCAGTGCCACAGACCCCTTCATCAAATCATACCACTGTCCCTCGTTATTTCATCAACCATTCCAAAAGATGAAGTATAGACAAGAAAGGATTGCAGTAAATTTTACTTACTACACTGTACATATTAACAAAAGAAAGTAAAACAAAAATTAGATGCTCTTAATCACATACTGTTCAAAAATCGGTTTTACACATCCCAATAACTGAAATACACTTTGGAACATTAATGAAAGTTATTGTCCAATGGATTTCAATTTCTTTGGTACAGGTTATGACTCTGATTATGATACATTTGTCACAAACTTGTAACGAACTCGGTCACATACATCATTTGCACAGTAACATTATTCATTTTAAAGTAAAAAATATTGAAAGTCTTCGAGGATATGCAATTTTTTACAGCAATAAAAAAAGACACAATATACATTAATAAATTGACATAAATGATTGCCCAAGGGGTAAGTTTATAAAGCTTAGAAAAGTAAATTAAACAAAAACTTTCTTATGCAAACATCAATTACATCGGCACATTCATCAACCTGAAGAAATATCTTTCGCTACTTCCTAATAAAATACAATGACCTTGACATATCTGTAACAAGTTACATTATGCTTTTACAAGTAGAAAAAGATTTTGGTACCTTTAGTATATTACTTTATGTATAACCTCATGGACTCTTTACTGAGCTTTATAACGATGCATTCTTAACCCTTACACTGCTCAAATCGCTCTCTGTGAATGATCCTTATAGGTTTTAAATACAGTTTTCCATGCACACCTGAATGTAGGACTTTTAAAGAGCTTAGCAGTTTAAGGGTTAAATGGACACACACATTGGAAAACATTAATATATCAATATAAAACAGACAAACACTGCCAAGCTGCAACTTAACCCAGCGGGCAAAACACACTTAAGTAAGGCTTACTCAACATCCTCAATGTGGATTCATTGATACATCAACATCATTTACTCACATTTGCCCGGGGGTGTTTGGCCTGAATGTGCAGTATGATGTACAAGCGAAGCGCCACCAAGAAAGACATCAACATTTATGTAATATGTAGACATTTATAATGAAAACAGACATGACTTAATTTTTTTAATTTCTCTTGTATGTGAAAAATGTTAATGATGTTTTAGCATCTTTGCTGATAATGTGAATTATAAGTACAGTAATGCAAATCATTTATAAGAGGCCAGGTATGATAACTACAAATATATAAAAAAAAAATTTAAATTTGTCATCTTTCTATTTTGATATTTTTACAAAAATTTCCTATCAAATATATTTTTTCCTAAATTAAAAGTGCATCATAAAAAATAGCATTAAGGCTAAATTACTTATTTACTGTACAGAGGGAAATGGATATATCATGCATCCACGTTTGTCATTTTCCACACAAGAATTGTATTATTATATAAATATGGCCAAGGCATCAATCCTTCGCATATGGCAGGAGCATAAATAATCAACACATAGCTAAACAAATTTTTAAAGACTTACATACCACATCAAAATAATCAAGACTTGCATAGCACATCAAAATAATCAAAGACTTATATAGCACATCAAAAATCAATCACATTTATGAAAGCAAAAGTATAATCTCATACAAGTAAAGTTTCATTTAGATGCCCATTATACGAGAGAATACATCATATACTACAGAGTAGGAACAAGTACATAACAATATAACATACAAAACCAGAACACCAAGAATGCATAACAATCAACTTTCGTCAGAGAGTTACTGTATATAGGTAACGCCTTCACTAGAATGCCTTACACAACATGAAATGTGCAGTACTCTAATGATATCACCAACAAAGACAACAGGAGTAATTTGCTTGGAAATAGATAACATCTTCTCTTCTTGAGGTTATCTTGAGATGATTTCGGGGCTTAGCGTCCCGGTCCTCCACCAGGCCTCCTTTTTGTTACACATCCCCAGGAAGCAGCCTGAAGCAGCTGTCTAACTCCCAGGTGCCTATTTACTGCTAGGTGAACAGGAACATCAGGGTGAAAGAAACGTTGCCCGTTTCTTCCTGCCTCCACCGGGGATCGAACCCGAAACCTCAGGACTACGAATCTGAAGAGCTGCACACTCCAGCTGTAAGGCCCCCCCCCTGTAACATGTATACTGCATATATGTATATATAGTTTTGACATAACCTAATATATGAAAGCACTACTTTTCTCAAGGCAACAGATCACCTTCAAGTATTCAAATTAATAGAATTAACAAAATAATAACAGTAAGTTACATTAATACTGTAAATGGATACAAGTGATATACAGTACTGTACTGTAAACCTTTTTTAGCATTTTCTGTGTAATTATTTGCATTATGAGACAGTGTACAGTGAATGGCACTTCTATACAAAATTCTGCTTAGAAATTAAATACACAGTGCCTGTTTTATTTCTGTATTATGCTTACACACAAATGAAGAACAAGTTAATTGTATGTGCATACACCCACTTGTGTGCAACGATCGAGTCCAAACTCCTTAACTGCTAACTGACCAGTCATAACTTTTAACTCTACATCAATAATATATTAAAATTTACATATGTAATTTTGTCCAATATTTCTCCAAATTAATTCCAGTCACTGTTGACCCTCACACCGAAGTTCTCCCTCTGATATTTTCAGGTGTTACCATCACGATGATGATCATCATCATCATCATTGTGTTCGTGTGTTGGTGCCGTCCTGCTGTATTTCCTTCATGTTGGCCCCATCCCTTCCAAACAGCCAGCCTTTATCTTCCAGTATAACTGAATAACTTGTTTATTGTTGTCTGTCCCCATGTGTCCTCTTTTGCTAAATAATTAATCCCAAAGCAAAGCTTCAATCCTAAACCTCGTCATACTTACCTGTCTTTACTATGTGTATGTGATTACCTAAGTGTAGTTACAGAATGAGAGCTATGCTTGTAGTATCCAGTATTCACAGAACTCTGTCATATGATGTTTTGAAACTACGGTACAGGCGGGTTTGGCCTTCACCGCCTTCTCACTAAACTTCTTCCAACCGTCTACCACTTCGTTTGCAAAAGAAAACGTTCTAATATTTTTTTTGGCACCTTTGTTTCCTTAGCTTGACTCTATGACTTCTTGTTCTTCAAGTTGCAGGTTTTGACAATTCCTCTGTCAATTTTGTAGATTCCTGTTAATATTTCTTATATAGTGATCATATCACCTCTCTTCTATCTACTAGTTTTCTTATATTTAGCACCTCTAGCCTCTCCTTGTAGCTCTTGTTTCAGTTCTTGAAGTCATTTGTAGCATGTCTTTGCACCTTTCCCGTTTACTGATGCGCTTTTTAAGATATGGGTACTATACAACCATTGCATATTCCAATTTATGCCTCATTAAAGTCTTTAACAATTTCTTTAATATTTTGCCATCCACATATTTAAAATCAGTTCTGAAGTTAGAAAGTGTAGTGTATGCTTTCCTCGCAATGTCCTTCATGTGGTCCTCTGGTGACAGTCTACTATCCAGACAAAAAAAAAAAAAAATGATCTCTTTCTTTGTCAGAGCTCTTTAATATCTTTCCACATAATTTGTAGGTTGAAATGTTTATATCTTTTATGTACCTAGCAGCACCAAAAACAATAATGTACACAGTGCACCTTAAAAATCTGGATTATGTTGTTCGGGACCTGACCCAGATTCACATGCAATCTGAATGTGCAAAATATTATCCTTTTCAGCTATTCGTCTCAAATTTGTTATAGTTTCTCATATAATACAAGCTTCTGCATATTTAGACACTACATTAACAAGGATTTTGTGTATCAAAATAATAAATATGCATGAAAAATACAAACTTTTAATCAATTCCCTTATCTTTTTGTAGCTTCCTGGTGTTGATAGCTCTTGGGCATCAAATGTGTGCATTACATCACTCTGTCTGTTTGGCTTGCCTAGTAACCCTGACCTGGCCAAAAGTCCTCTATGCCCATTTTTCATGACATTCATTCAGCCCCCAGACTGTACCTGTACACCATCAGCAGCAGGCAGCCCCAGACTGTACCTGTGTACCATCACCAGCCCCAGACTGTACCTGTGTACCATCACCAGCCCCAGACTGTACCTGTGTACCATCACCAGCCCCAGACTGTACCTGTGTACCATCACCAGCCCCAGACTGTACCTGTGTACCACCACTAGCCCCAGACTGTACCTGTGTACCATCACCAGCCCCAGACTGTACCTGTGTACCACCACCAGCCCCAGACTGTACCTGTGTACCACCACCAGCCCCAGACTGTACCTGTGTACCACCATCAGCCAGCAGCCCCAGTTTGTACCTGTGTACCATCACCAGCAAACAGCTCCCAGGCTGTACCTGTGTACCACCAGCAGCAGCCAGCCCCAGGCCGTACCTTCGCACCACCAACAAGCATTTCCAGGTTGTACCTGTGTACCACCAGTAGGCAGCTCCAGGATACAATGCTACATAAGCCCCCCAATAAACAGGATCATCTAAATCATTATACTGAAAAAGGTTTAAGATTTTCTGTCACAATGAGAAAATCTTTGGAGCAGGACAGGGATTGAACCAACATCATAGGTAACCCCTATGACCTACAGATGCTGATGGGTGTGTTGAGTGATGGACGCTGGTCCCATCCCAGTCCTGCTTCAAAGACTCTCTCAGATACTGAGGAAATCATTACTGTGATTTCCTTCCGTATTTTCTGTCACCATTCTTACCACCCCTAATTCCCCTTTTTTTCACAAACCCCATAATCTGCATTTTTTTTTCAAACGTTATTAAAAAACTACAATATTACATTGTAAAAATATCATGCTTTACTAGCTGATTGCCTCCCCAAACACTATTATTTCTAATAACTCTGCCTTAAAATTTTGTTGGCCTCTACAGATACAACTAATGCTTCAGGGAATAGTGAGAAATAGGTGTTGGGCCCAGAGACTACTAAGGGTGCTGGGATGATGACACCAGGTGAAGGAGTGAGAGAGCAAGTTGGCCAAGACCTCAGGTGGCCTGGGTTGCCATCTGGTGGTGGTCAAGTGCATCTCAGTTGGGTATTTACCCTGCGGTATCGATCACTTCCCTCGTTTACCTTGGAGTGCTTTCCTTCCATCACTTCTGTTGTCTATATTTTCTGTTGGGGTGTTCTACACTTTTGTGATTGATCAATTGCTCCACTTGCTTAGTAGAGTAAGCCCAAGTGTGGTTCTGGTTCTCAGTAGATAAATGGGTCCCAAAGGTCAGGTGTGTTGGGCTAAGGCTTGGTTGTATTTGAGTTCACTTCAGGTAACCACTTTGAGTCTCTCCCAGAACAGAGTAACAATTTTATACGTTAATTAGCCAGGCACCAAGTAGGTCAGGCTGATTACATACTGGCTTGGGGTGGGAGGGTAGACTGCAATACAGTTGAGGAGTTAGTGTGGATTTGAATAAAATTACAATATACCGGCAAGAAATGCCTAAATAATAAAAACTTGAACGGGTGCACCAGAAAATATGAGACAAAAAGATTATCGAGTCTCGTGTCTTGCAAGTGTATGTTTACACTGATTTAAAACTATTTTGGGTCTTCGGTCGAACTCAGTATGGAATATGGAGGCAAATTTTATTGCTAGCCAATACTGTACTTGTGTAATATGTAAATGCATATATTTGTATCAAATATCTTCTTATATACAGTACCATACCCATACAGTACATACATATCAGCCCGGTAAAATCCCGGGAGCCATAGGGGATCCCCACAAAAATTATGATTTAACACATCTTTGCATTTTCTCAACACAATTGTCTTCAGGGTTATCAACACATTTTATGCATACAGTTTTAAAAATATTGTTTACCACATGTTTATCACTCATAATATCTTAATAGGTTTAGCTTCTCATGTAGTAATATTTCTTATTTGGAAACTGCAATTGTGTTATTGCTTTTAATGTGATTAATTGATCACAGATATGGTACACACGTTGTAATGTGAGACAAACATTCCCAGCATCAAATACCTTTCAACAATACACTAATGAGCTTGTACACAAATTTAAATATCAACTGTGCACATATATATATATATATATATGCATACAACATAAATGCAGTACATGTACATATAAGCACGTACTGTATATATACAGCGATAGGAAAATATGAAAAATGTACGTGGAAAAACATTATTATATAATAAACTGCATTAACAGTGGACTACAAAAATTGTTTACTTTAGAGAAAGAATTTAGGCATTTTCAATCATCCACGCACTACACAAGGAAGATGGCAGCGTAACATGTTAAATGATTAATAAAACAAGAATAAACCAACAGAAAACAAATCAGATATAGTACACCCATTCAATGCAAACATTTATAGAACATTCAACACAAATTATGTCTTGGTTTTTATCTATTAACTTTGCCATGGAATTACATTTTCACAAAGTTCTGCACAGTACAGTATTAGTCTTGAATACCATAAACTCGACATTCATTGAGCCATCTAGTAGCATGTCTTTGCGTTTTTTTCTATTTGCATATATCATCTATTCTTTCTGAGATATGGACATCATATACCGGTAACTGTTGCATGTTACCATCTGTTATGGTCTTATGAATATGGATGTGTGCGCGTGTGTGTGTATTTTTTTTTTAAGAATATGAGAAAGAAGAAACAGGACAAGAGATGTTGCCTTACACTGTAAGACACCAGCTCAAATCCATCTTTTGCCTCTTCTTCTTCCCTGTCCTATGAAAACAGATTCATAGGAGCAGCTGGAAAGGGAAAGAATTAGCATTTTCAGAGAAGCAATTCAGGCCATACAAAACAAATTGGCAAGCACTACTCAAACTGAGGAAACCATTCACTGACAGAGCAAATAGTATAGCACCGTGGCTCTCGCCGATTGAATGTGTATCGGTGCTCACTACACTAGCAGAGTGGCTAAAACGAATCATCACTAGATGAGGCACACCTGTTTAATCAATCGATTTATGGTATGCTGAACCAATATGTAAATGCTTATAAAAATAAAATTATTTTATGAAACACTATATTGCTTTTAAATATCTACTGTATTATTACTGTATATTACTTCATAAATGTGCTTATGTACATAAGGGTTACTGAAGCCTACCTACTCCATAAAATAATGGATATATTCTCAACATTAGACCCAGCCATGTAATATGATTGATCTACACGTTATAAAATAAAATACAAGTCATAATTTTGTAAATAATAATAAATAATTTTCTTGAATCATTGGGGATTCAATTTAGGGCCCCCAAGGTATGTAAGTGTTCCCATATCAAACAAATTTTTATTTTGATAGATAAATTAATAACATTTAAACTGATATGATCATCGTGTAACAGTGAACACTGGTAACCCGAGAGAGAGAGATGTTTGGTGCTCAGGCCAACCAGGGATGGTGGAGTAATGTACACAATTATTAAACAGTGCCAAGCCATGAAGATTACAGTATTAAGCAAAATGTGCGGTGAAAAATAAGAAAATATCCTAGATATCATTCAAGATATCAGTCTGAGAGCAAAAAGATACATGACAGATGATGTGAAAGGTATCGGGTTCAGGTGGAGCAAATAAAGTTGTGATGAAGACAGTTCTAGTCACTGAACTAAGCTAACTAATCGTGCCTTGGTAGTTACCAGCTTACAAAACTGTAGCAGATGGTGGGCATCATTTTAAATTCTATTATATTTATACTATGATAAAACTGACTTCAAGTAAAGAAAATTTAAAACAATACTATAGCAAAGATGACATAAATTGATATACTTGAATCATTAACATGTGACTTAACCATCACAAGGCAAATTCTCAAGTGTGATTTATAGCAAACCATAGTATGTTCCCGAATATAGATCATATTAACAATATATGGCAGCAGAATGAAACCTAATTGCAATCTACATATCACAGAGGAACTCTTTTTATGGCAATGACAATGTGTATATAAATTCAAGTGTAATAATGCTCAATGCAATGTTTTCCAAACTTCCCCTTATCAACCATCCCTAAGACAAGCATGACTTTAAACAGGGTTTATTACATAGTCAAGCACTGCAATTTACGTACAGAGCCATACAAGATCTCAACCCGTCATCTCGCCTAATACGTCGCATTATTAATGGAATGGACCTCTCCGATAAAAATGTGACGTGTTAGGAAAAATTAAAATGCTGTAATACTGTACTGACATTTTCTGTGCACTGACATCTACAGGTTGGGTGGGTTACTTGGGTTTGTACATTCCTGGTTCGGCAAAACAGTTGCATTTTTTTACGGAGAGATAAACTGAGAGAACGGGGCTGCAATATCTTGAGCAATGAGCACAAGTTTAGCAACATAACTTCCACACTAAATTGAAAGTAAATTAATCTTTGAAAACCCAAAGCACCTATCAAATGTTAATATACACATTGTCCAACAAGTCTTTTTAAAATAGGTATAGCCAAGATCACATCAAGCGGTGTACTATGCATGAGAAAATATTACGGCAATGGGTAGACTTGAACTCTCGTCTCTTTAGATCATGTGTTAATATTATAATGAAGACCATACAGAGGGTTGAGGGGAGGGGGAATAATGGACGAGTTATATAACCAAGATTACACAGCTTATGTATTACACAAGATAATTACAAAATATATACACAGGAAAAGTATAGATGAAAGCAATACTGTATTTACATTGCATGCAAGTGAAGTATGTAATTATCAAAATATTATGCAAGTGAAGATTCTTGGATCATCAATAATCCAAACACAATTATGGAATAATAATTATATTCCAATTTTACTGTAATCTGTTGATTTAACTTTTGTTGTTATGTTAAATAAAATGTTAGTAAGCCTGTCAGCAAGACCATTCTCAGAAGCATCACAAAAGACTGATGTATTCTCTGATGCACCACTAAAGACTGATGTAATTCTCCGATGCATTACCAAAGACTGATATATTCTCTGAAGAACCACCAAAGACTGATGTATTCTCTGATGCATTACCAAAGACTGATATATTCTCTCAAGAACCACCAAAGACTGATGTAATTCTCCGATGCATTACCAAAGACTGATATATTCTCTGAAGAACCACTAAAGACTGATGTATTCTCTGATGCATTACCAAAGACTGATATATTCTCTGAAGCACCACCAAAGACTGATATATTCTCAGAAGCATCACAAAAGACTGATGTATTCTCTGATGCACCACCAAGGACTGATGTATTCTCTGATGCATTACCAAAGACTGATGTATTCTCTGAAGCACCACCAAAGACTGATATATTCTCTGAAGCACCACCAAAGACTGATATATTCTCTGAAGCACCACCAAAGACTGATATATTCTCTGAAGCACCACCAAAGACTGATATATTCTCTGAAGCACCACCAAAGACTGATATATTCTCTGAAGCACCACCAAAGACTGATATATTCTCTGAAGCACCACCAAAGACTGATATATTCTCTGAAGCACCACCAAAGACTGATATATTCTCTGATGCATTACCAAAGACTGATGTATTCTCTGAAGCACCACCAAAAGACTGATGTATTCTCTGAAGCATCACCAAAGACTGATATATTCTCTGAAGCACCACCAAAGACTGATATATTCTCTGAAGAACCACCAAAGACTGATATATTCTCTGAAGCACCACCAAAGACTGATGTATTCTCTGAAGCATCACCAAAGACTGATGTATTCTCTCAAGCACCACTAAAGACTGATGTATTCTCTGAAGCACCACCAAAGACTGATGTATTCTCTGATGCATTACCAAAGACTGATGTATTCTCTGAAGCACCACCAAAGACTGATGTATTCTCTGAAGCACCACCAAAGACTGATGTATTCTCTGAAGCATCACCAAAGACTGATGTATTCTCTGATGCACCACCAAAGACTGACACATACTCTACAGCACCACCAAGGAGTGACATATTCGCCACATCACCACCAGACACTGACATATTCTCTAAATTTCCTTCAATTAATTTATTGGCAAGAGTATGTTGGACAACTTATTGGGGTCAATATTACCCCACATGGTGTGTTACGCATTTTTACAATGGCATTGAATACATGTAAATTATATATTTTGTCCACAAAGGAGGAAATTGCAATACACAATACATCTTTGCTAACATTAATATGTACACCAAAACATTAATGAATCTGAATACGAAGAAGAGAGCTTATGGTGCAACTTACAGCTGCGCTTGGATTTTTAATCTATAAATAAAATATTATTAATACAAGAGAAAAAATGCACAGTTATACTGAATTGTGATCAAGTTAAGCTTCATTATAGAAGCTATATTACACTTCCCAAAATGCCCTAAATAAACATACCGCACACTTAAACACTAACTATATTATAGCGGAACTCAATAAATTATCACACAATGTTTAGGCACATCATAGAAGTAAGAAACCAGCTGTTCATTACCATAAATATTCCATATTGCAACAAGCTTGGCAACATTAAGAGTAATTTCAATAGAAATTCAAGTTTACTTTCTTGACCTTTCCCGTTCAATAAAACTTTTGTGAAACCTGATCGATTCCAAGTTATATTATGCTTACAGCTTATTAAATAATTACAAATGACCTAGGTGTAGTTATATCTTAGTTACAGGATGAGAGTTACGCTTGTGGTGTCTCACGTGTGTGTGAGTGATATGCATGTGATATTATAATTATATATATATATATATACGGGAGGTGGGAGGTGGTACTCCCTTCCCTATATATATATATATATATACGTCTGGCAAACATCCTCTGGATGTTTCCTGCCAGCCTGCAGGAACATCCTGCCTAAAATATACGATGATGTACTGTACATTTAAGAAACAAATCTGGGTCACAGGTCTGTGGAGTGTGGTTAGGCTTACGGAGTCAGCCGGTCCCTCCCCCACCACCGACACACCTCCCCCTCTCCCCCCACCACCGACACACCTCCCCCTCTCCCCCCACCACCGACACACCACCCCCCCCCCCACACACACACACACACACACACACACACACACACACTCACTCACTCACTCACTCACTCACTCACTCACTCACTCACTCAAAGGTCACGTGGTTCACGGTTCACTTCAACACCCATATATCGCTTCCTGCCTGCCTGCCTGCCTCCTTCCCAGCCTGCCTCCTTCCCAGCCTGCCAGCCTGCTTCCTTCCCAGCCTGCCTCCTTCCCAGCCTGCCTCTTTCCCAGCCTGCCAGCCTGCCTCCTTCCCTGCCTGCCAGCCTGCCTCCTTCCCAGCCTGCCTGCCTGCCTCCTTCCCAGCCTGCCTGCCTGCCTGCCTCCTTCCCAGCCTGCCAGCCTGCTTCCTTCCCAGCCTGCCTCCTTCCCAGCCTGCCAGCCTGCTTCCTTCCCAGCCTGCCTCCTTCCCAGCCTGCTTCCTTCCCAGCCTGCCTGCCTGCCTCCTTCCCAGCCTGCCAGCCTGCTTCCTTCCCAGCCTGCCAGCCTGCCTCCTTCCCTGCCTGCCAGCCTGCCTCCTTCCCAGCCTGCCTCCTTCCCAGCCTGCCAGCCTGCTTCCTTCCCAGCCTGCCTCCTTCCCAGCCTGCCTCCTTCCCTGCCTGCCAGTCTGCCTCCTTCCCAGCCTGCCTGCCTGCCTCCTTCCCAGCCTGCCAGCCTGCTTCCTTTCCAGCCAGCCTGCCTCCCTCCCTGCCATCATGCTAACGGGTAGTGTGTGTTAGGCTTATCTTCGGGAATGAGCCGGTCTCACCCCCACCACCAACAAACCACCCGCCCCCTACATCCCATCTCTCAAGGTCACGCGGTTCAACCGCGTGACTACCACTCACTCCCTGCCTGCAAGCTAGCCTGCCTGCCTGCCTGCCTGCCTGCCTGCCTGCCTGTCTGCCTGCCTGTGCCTGCCAGCCTGCCTGCCTGTGCCTGCCAGCCTGCCTTTCCCTCCCTAATTCTCACTACTTCCATCCCTTCCTGCCTACCTCCTAGCATCTCTCCCTACCTCCCCCTCCCTCTTAGCATCTCTCCCTACCTCTTAACATCTCTCCCTACCTCCCCCCCTCTCTCACTGATTCTCCCCCCCCCCCTCATTCATACTGCCTCCCACCTAAGCTCCATCGTCCATCCACCCACCACTGACGCAATGCGTGTGTATATATATATATATATTACTATATATATATATATATATATATATATATATATATATATATATATATATATATATATATATATATATATATATATATATTATATATATATATATATATATATATATATATATATATATATATATATATATATATATATATATATATATATATATATATATATATATATATATATTATATTATATATATATTATATATCTATACATACACTGTATATATATACTGTATATGTATAGATGTATTTATGTATATGAATACAAAATTATACTTACATTCCATGATATGTGATTACTCATTAGATCTTGATGTTTTTAATTAAGTGATTGATGAATCAATCATATACTGTACTTGAGATCTAATATATTCATTAAAATCTGAAGAAATATGTTTTTCATACTACAGTATACCACATTTGAATATCAAGCTGTAAACCATTGCACACGTACCAGTCTACCATTTACAACTTGACCATCTCTAACATCTCGTGCACTTCAGAACTTTTCCTCTTCATCTGACCTAAATCAAAGTTACTTCATTCATTTCCAGCTGAAGCAATGGAGAGTCATCTTGGTTATCTCCTGAAGCCTTGCGCCAATAAAATGATAACAAACGTTAACGTTGAGAGAGATCATTGGGACGCCAGGTATAATCAGCCAGGAGACGGGGCTTAGAGAGCTACGGCTCATTTCCCTCTAGTCACGTTTCTTAATTTTCAAAAGAAGGCAAAAGTCCTAGATATCATTCAAGAAGTTAATACAACAGCAAAAGGATGCGAGACGAGTGTCAAAAGCATCGGATTCACCGAGGATTTTATTAAGGGACAGGTAACCCAAAGGGACACTGAGAAAGTTAGATCTACAACCATCCTCAAAATCAGGAATTTCTAACCATCTTTCTTAAGAACACGACAGCAGTTGAAACCTGATTAAATATATGTTTGCCTTGACTGGTTATATTTACATTCCAATATCACTAAGCAGTCTGCTACAAATTATTCAACATTATGTGAAAATAATAAATTTTCAGATTAAAATAAATCCCATAATTCCTTGTTCTTTCTTTCAACTCACTTTCACCTGGGCACTCCAGCCCTTTTCAAGGCTGAAAGATGTGCAAGACCACTTTCCATATTATTTAAAAAGTACATTATTTACTTATTTGGTTGTCATAAATGTAAGGCACATGCTGTCTACTGGCAATGAGAAATAAAACATTTGAAAGGGTCTAAGGATTACACAAGCAATTTTATACAAATGCCATCATGCAGTTCAATCTTCGTATATGTGAACCGTTCAGCTATATCATCTTGATCCGACTCGGCCTCTACCTTGGTGGCTGGCCACCTGTGGTGCGAGTAAATATTTCACCTAACCTAACTATATTGTTTATGTATCAGCCATGGCCATTGAACATCCTGCCACATGGCTAACAAAAATGCAGGTAAATATTTTGGCCACTGCTTCAGCTAACAGCATACTGTATCTAAACGGAAGCAGGTTTCCATGAAATATGAGCAGAAAGCAGAGCTTATAATCTGGCACTCCTTGGAGTCTAATGAGTGTTAAAAGTTAAAGTGAGCAGAAACCCCCCATTTTTTGTAATGGCTTAAGTACAGTGTTCTTAAAATGAGTAATGCAGAAAATGAAAGAAGTAACTTGAGGGTGTTGATGAGGCTGTTTAATTAAGAGTGGTATCAGATAATACCAGAATTTTTGTCATGTTCATGAATAAAAGAATCTACTTTGAATATAAAGATCTTTTACAGATTATATCTAAAGTCTTCAAATAACAAGAGAACTTTTGAAACAATTAACACACAAAAAAGAATCTTGATATCTTTGCCAAGGGAACTTGAATTGAAAACTAAGGTCTTCCTCCTCGCCTTAAAGAATAAAAGATAAGGAGAAGAATAAATAGATAAGGAAAAAGAATAAAAGATAGAAGATAAGGAGAAGAATAAAAGATAAGGAAAAAGCAATTTCTGACAATTTTGGTCAGAATACAGTATTGTCAGTGAAAAAATGTAGAAAGTCTTCAGTTACTTCTGCATTGTAAATGTTGCCAAGGAAAAGAATCCATAAAAAAGGGGACAACTGCTCTCACTTTCTCTATATCTGTAGCAGCATTTCCAAGGCCAACTGAGGTCAACTAATCTATTATCTTTCAGTTCTTCCATATTTTAGCCACTTGAATGCAGCTCCTTACCTATTGCCTGGGAGGTAAACTTCTCTTTGTGATGGATAAGACGCCTGTATTTAGGGTCATCAGGGTTCTCCTAGGTCAATTACTCATCATTCCCGGGATACAACCTGCAAAAGCTGCCTAGCTTCCGAGTATCCATTCATCGCTAGGTGAACAGAAATGTGCCCAACTATTTCTGTCCTACCCAGGGATCAAACCTGGGATCCTCAATTGTGAGTCGAGGAGGCAAGCTCGAAAACCAAGTACAGTACCAGTACCGAGACTTAATTAATATCACTTGAGCCTTACCTATTGATAGTGTAGTCTTAGCTATTGGCAAGTGTTTATCACTTGTCACTTCCCTCATTATTTTCTTCTTCCATTCAATTCCCTTGTTTTTCTCCCTTTCTCCCTTATGAATAATTTCTCAACTTTCAATATTGTGTTTGAAAGTATAAAGGATGTTAACACTGTACTATGAACCTCTAAAAACACAATAAAATATTTTTTGTTTGAATACTGGTACAGTAAGTAATAATCTCACTTATGAAGTAAGATGCCAAGCCTGGAAGACTTTTTAGCATTGTCTGCGGCACAAAATGGTAAACAATTTTCTAGGTACTGTACCATTCAAAGTGCCAATAGATCAGAAAGTTTAAGGAAGAACAATGTCAAAGGTGTCATATTCACAAAGGATTTTACCGAGGGACAAATGACTCAAAGGACCATTGGGAATTGTCAATTATCAATCTTGGGAAAGCAAGATTTCCAATTCAGAAAATCTAGACATTTAACAAGGTGGGGCATGACTTAAGATTTGTGACTGGTGTGCTCATAAGCTGGTACACCAGAAGGCAAAATATGTTTGAGTAATATTTATTACTGTTGACCAGACCACACACTAGAAGGTGAAGGGACGACGACGTTTTGGTCCGTCCTGGACCATTCCCAAGTCGATTGTCTGTCGACTTGGACCATTCACAATCGACTTGAGAATGGCCCAGGACGGACCGAAACGTTGTCGTCCCTTCACCTTCTAGTGTGTGGTCTGACCAACATACTTTAGCTACGTTATTGTGACTTATCGCCTGCAATGTTTATTACTCATTGAATAAATGTTTTCATTGTGATGTGCCGTGTCAAAGGATCATCTCAAGTCTACAGAGTAATGAATATAACCTCAACTGCAACAAGCACCTCTAACCTGCTGCAAAATTGTAGAATACAGTACATATAATGCTCATTACTGTATTCAAGTGTTTGCTGACTCTCGATTGCTTCTGC